AAAGGTTTTAATACTCCACCTTCAACAATGGCTAAAATCACCCCACAGATCAGCAACATGAACAACGCACAACCCAACTACATGTAACAGACACAACAGTCCGATAACAGCTGAACAAACATTCTTCTCCAATGCACCTGGAACACTCTCCAAATGGACCATAAACACATCTCAATACAGGTGAAAAGATGGAAAGGATACCAAGGATGTTATCCTAAAAAAGTGCAATGCAATTAGAAATCAGTAACAGAAAGAAAACTGGAAAACTCTCAAATATGTGAAAGTTAAGCAGTACACTTCTAAGTAACCAAGGGGTCAAAGAAGAAATCACAAAAGTAATAAGAAAATTTGAGATAAATGAAAACACGACATACCAACACTTATAGCATGCAGCTAAAGCAGTGTTTACAGGGAAATTCATAGCTGTAAATGCCCATATTAAAAAGATCACAAATTGATAATCTAATCTTCCACCTTAAGAAACTACTAGAAGAGCAAACTAAACCCAAAACACAGGAAAGAAAGAGTAAGTATTGTGTTGTTGCTGGTCAAGGAGTTGATTCAACCCACAGCTCCCCTAGAGGACAGAGTGAAACTGCACCACAGGGTCTCCAAGGCTGTCAATCTTCATGGAAGCAAAGCCCAAACGACACCCACTGCCTGGAGTCTATTCTGACCCACAGCGCCCCTAGAAGACAGAGTGGAACTTCCCCACAGGGTCTCTGAGGCTGTGAGTCTTCACAGAAACAAAGCTCAAACCACACCCACTGCCTGGAGTCCATTCTGACCCACAGCGCCCCTAGAGGACAGAGTGGAACTGCATCATAGGGTCTCCAAGGCTGTCAATCTTCATGGAAGCTGATTGCCACATCTTTCTGCTGCTCATTTTGGATTAAAAATGCGGCTTAGCAGCTGAGCGCTTAACCACTATATCACCAGTGTTCCCCAGTATAACAGAAATAAATGAAATAGAGAATACAAAATAGAAAAAATTCAATAAAAGCAAAAGTTGGTTCTTTGAAAAGATTAACAAAGTT